CGACTTTCATTAAACATCTTGCTTTTATAGAATTAAAAAATACTAGATATTACGGGAGAAATTAGAGGAGACCCGAAATCTATTTTTTATAATCTTTAAATATTGCGTGCAGATCTTAAAATTTTATTATAAAAAATCTTGATTAATGATTATCACTATATCACCTGCAATTTGCTACTTTAAATGCAACATATATATCTATTCAAAAATAAAATAAAATTTTTGAAAAATTGGGCTGTTTTAATAGATCACATCCCATATGTGATACATATGTTTCGGATCATGACTGAATTTAGCAAAAAAAAACAAGAACGAGATTTTTCTTTAGCCGCACTCATGTACTTTGTGCTGACGTTTATCGAGAATTTCTGTAACGAGAATGACGTGTATCATACACTTATGATTAATAGGGAAGATAGGTTAAACCCATACACGTGAATTTGCAGCAATAGGCTTATGATTCTTTTAAACCGTTAATATCTTTATTAAAGGTCATTGATAAAAAATATATCTGTTTTAAAAGTTTTTCAGGAATTCTAAAATATATATTCAGGCACCTATTCTTTGATTATTTTTTCCCTCGATCTTTAATTGCTAATCCAATGATTCCACCATCCTCAATATTATAGTATGCTAATGATACCTGATTTTTCATCACGGCACCCCCTATTGTAAGTTTTTGCTTTCCCGCTGGAAAATTCAATCTTGCAAAAATTTTATCCTTCACAGCAGAAACTAGTGTTGTGAGTGATAGATTATCTAGAACAATGATTTGTCCTTGACAATTCCATTCTGGTTTCTCAGATATTATAGGGCACTGAATTTGTATACTTATTAATCCCTATGAAAGTTAATTGAATAAAATTATATAAATAAAAAATAATTTGATACCATAATTTATAATAATATTAATTTTCGATCTAATTCATACCTGATGAGAAGCTATCCATTCTTCTTCTGATACGAGGCTTCCCATCGAGGAACCATTATCTAATTTTTGTCGTTTTGATAGCATGGTAATGTCCACCTCGTCTTCCATTGTTCGACCTGTTTTGATGAAGATAGGACAAATTATTAGGATAGAAAACTACAAATAATGTCGATTAAGTTGCATACCTGGTAAGGATTGGCGAAGTTGAGGAATTGGTGGGATAGGTGGGCGGACTTGAGAAGGTTGTTGGGAAGCCATATTAACATTTTGGGATGCGATTGGTGCAATAAAACCTGGTAATTGATGTGCAAATGGCGCAGAAGACCCAACATAGCCAGAATACGCGACTGGTAGAGGTCCTGGAGGTATTGGAGCATTTTGCGTTGTGTGAGACGGATAACCAGTGAATATAGGTTGTTGAGCCGAGGATATATGTGGTTGTATCCCTGGTTGATGAATATGTTGAATTTGATGCTGATGCGAATGCTGTTCCTGTAGTTGTGGTATCCTTGGACCAATTTTAGAGTCGCTATCACTAGTCAAATGTACAAAAAACAGTGTCATCATTGTTATACTTTATATGGATTCAAAACGCCTAAAATTTTATATATACCTTGTCAGGCCTTTGCTTCGATGGATCGCCGCAATTTGTTCATCGATTGAAACACCAGCCGCTGCTCGTTGAGTCGCCATATTTATAGACGCAGTATGACCATCCCATACAACCTTCTCCTTTTCAATTCGTTTTTTCTTTTCTTCCTCTTCTCCAATCTAGCATATTAATAAAGACATAATGATCAATAAACCTAATTGTGTATCCGATCATTGCAATTAAAAATAAAATAAACTCACCTTTCGACCGATTTCAGTTTCCTCATTTCCAAAAATATCGGAACGATAACCGGAAAATGTCTTGAGAATTTTAGCAACATCCGTTCCTACATATAGAATAATTACGTCAATATTACAACACAGTTATACACTTAATTAGAAATATAAAGAAAGGATAGCCAATAAAAAGAACCTTCTTGTAACAGATTTGATTCTTTCTTTTTGGCATCTGCCGCCATCTTTTGTTCTTTCCATTTAGGATCTAATAATTCTATACGGACATGATTTGCCATCTCGTCCAAAGGAATTGCTTGATTACATCTTGGGCATATGACCGTCTGTCTTTCGGTGGTAGTTTTAGGCGCATAAGCTAACAGGATTTAATTGAATATAAAGTTAATAAATAATTATACTAACAATAATTATATAGGCATTAAGTTTGTTGAGTATTTACTACCTCTGGGTTTATAATCTTTAACAATTTTCATAGGGGCAGACGTATCTGGAGGTTTAATTTCTGTTACAGTAGGTGTTGATTCTTGATCCTGCTCATCATCGTCTGCCGCTGCTTGGTCATCCTCTTCTTCCATGTCAACGTCTTCATCCATCTTATTAAGGCAAAAAATATTGGGTTTAAAAATTATTCAATATATCTGACAGATATAAAATGCAAACCTCCATATCAATCTCAGCTGCTTTATCTTCATTTGTTTCTACAATATTAACTGATGCCATCTTCTTTTGGGCAAGAGTCATGTTTTCCAGCTCAATTATGCTCATAGGTGGAGGGAGATCAATTGTTTCATCGGCTTCAGTAAATTCGACAGTTTCCACAATGACAAAATCATGCCAATCAATTGATGCATATGCAACTAAACAAATCAAATTAGTAAATGGTAGTCATATCAAAATTTCATATAGAAGTTATAAAACATTCTTACTTCTCTCTTGATCTTCCTTTTCTTCCGCCTTTTTTCTTTCTTCTTCTTGATATGCAGCATATTCAACCCGTTGCATCACACGTTCCAATATCTGATACTTATTATCGACATTATATTTTAATTTTTCATTCAGATTTTTTTGCGGAACCAACACCTTAGTATACTGTTCGACCAATTTCGTGAAATAATTACATAAACTATGATTCGGTCTTAGAAAATCAAATTGATAATTGCGTTGTTCACGCTGCGACAGAGCTGTCATGAACTTTCGCCCATTACGTGCTACGAATTGAGCTGTTAATTTCAGAATGTCACTAAAGATTACAGAACTTAATGTTACAAAGCACTATTCAATAAAAAAACAAATCCACATAAAAACAATATGATCTTACAGATCCTGTGCTGATATAGAAGGCATATCATTCATAAATTCAAAAGATGGTGGTTCCTTTGGTGGAGCTCTTTGTAGGAAACCTTCTTCCTTAACTTCTACTTTAAGCTCTTTTGGTTCAGCCTTTTTAGAAACTAAAATTTCAACACATTAATTTGCAGTTAATATATCGGGAATCATAAGTATATGGAATAAAAAGGAAGTAAAGAATAAGATATATATACCTTTACCACCTTTGGTCTCGGCGATTTTGTACTGATAGTAAGCATGATACGGATCGTTAGGATTCAAAAAGCTGAATTTAGCGTTATGTTTTTCATTTTCGCGAATGCGTTCTTCAAATTGTACTCCATTTCTTGCAACAAATATGGCAGTCTTATCAACGATATCTATAATTTTTAAAGGTTAAGGACAAGAAAGAGGCTTTTTATACCAAAAACCAAGTAAAAACCATGCAAAAAGATTGTTTCTAGTTGATCGGATCAATATAGTATAAAGGACACCTACTCTATATCAATTAGTGACCCTTATATTATGTTTGATCCAATGGATCTTTACATCTTTATCATATTCAAGTTAATTTACTGAAGTATAAAAGGATACTCCGTATATCCGGTGGAGGGTAAATGATCCCCACAAGAGGTCTAGCGTCTTCATCATTATTTACAGATGCATTGTTTTCTGCCTCCACATGTGGAAATGAATCGACTTCTGGAAGACTCTCAGGTAATGCTACAGCAACCATTCGTAGTAGTTTAAAATTTTGATCTCTTGAGATCAGTCAGTAGCAAAAATTTAATTTATAAATGCATAAAATTTATGTTCTCTGATTGGTCAACCATTCAGAACCTAAGACATTAGATTAAAAATAGCATATCATTGTTACTAGATTTCTAATTAACCAAGGCCAGGTATACTAAGTAAAAATGTTTAGAGCTCTCAAAACCTTATGTTAACCTAAATTTGAACCTTTATGTTTGATCTTTGTAGCTATACTTTTATAAGTTAATAGTTGATTTCTAGTATAGATAGGCAAATATAATATGACAGGATGAAACCTGAGTTGTTTAGGTTACCTTTTTGATGCATTTGATGCAGATCTTTACTTTTATTAGGGTCAGGGTTAGAAAAGTACTATATTAGGTGTGATCTGCATCAATAAAATCCTAACTCAGGTTCAGGTTTCATCCTGTTGTAATATAATTATTATAATTATAATATATATATTTTTTGAATTAATTTAAGCAAACTTATTAATAATTAGGATCTGAGATAAGGTTATAATATAAATTAGTTCGGGTGTAGGTCCTATAGCTTAGTGGTTAAGCTCCCATACTCTCCACAGTCAAGGTCAACAGTTCAAGTCTGGCTGAAGGCAAAATTGAAAGATTTTAGCTTCTGTAATCTAATAAGAAGCCTGTAATTGAACATAAAGCCCTGTGGTTAAGTTCAAGTGCAGTACAAGAATGGAAATAGGAATTCTCAGAAGGAGACCCAATCATGGAGTGCAGGCACTATGTGTAACAAGCAGTTGTTACAGAAGGTTACGGTTATGAAAAGATTGCACATATAAGTCCTTTAGACTAAGACAACACCAACATCCTTATACCTTCCAATATAGGCAGTACCAACATCTCTGCATCCAACTTGTGGGGTATTTGCTTAGAAGAATAATCAATGGATTGTACAAATAAGTCTTAATTGGGATCCAAGAAGAGGATTTAATTGGGAGAGTAGTCTAACAAGTAACCAAGACTGGAATGATAAGAGAAGCGATGAACACGAGAACAGACTGTGATAAAGAATTGGTCTAACCAAAATTGGAAGCACCTCTGGCACAGTTGAATAATCTAATTATAGAAGGGAAGATCTTGAAGGTAGGCATATAACCTCCTTGTGCAATGTAAAAGTACCAAATCAGGTTTTGGTCGTACCTATATGGAAGTCTATGACGAACAAGACTAGAGATCAACCAACCAATGTAAGATAAGATCTGCAAGGTAGTATGGCATCACTGGGGTTGGTGTAACTCCTTGGGCATAACCAGAATTGTTCTGTAGGTATTGTCAAATAAGCTGAGAGCTTGCAATATATGGTAGTATGGTATCACTAGGGTCGAAGGAACTCCCTAGGTATAACCAAAATTGTCTTGTTTCTAAGTGCAACAAGTCCCAGTCTCTAGCATAAAAGAAAGCACCATGTTGGAGTTTAAATGCAGCATCGAGTTACTGTATAATGTTAAGACCTGAGGCATCTGCAGGAATGGTGTCAGCAGGTTTGGCTTGAGATACGGATTGGTCAAAAGACCAATGGCGACAGCAAATCTGGCTTGAGATATGGGTTCATTGTAGATCCTGGACCATTGTCAGAACACCTTAGGAGAATCAATAACAGGCAAACCAAAGATGGGAAGATCATAAGGATTAGACATACCTGAGTAGGACCAATTTGGGAGTGATACAGTGCCGAAAAGGTAGGAAATGTGGGGAACAAGGTAATACTAGATATAGTTAGATTAGGAAGCAGAAGAAACAAGATCAAATAAAACATGTGAGTGGGACATATGGGTATGATTTATAGAAGACAGTACCCCTGGCATTTGGGATGCCGCATTAAGTTCAGTAGGTATCCTTGTCTGTGTAGCGGTTTAATGTGTACCATGATTGCAAGTGGTTGCCAAGGTAACTGCGTGCAGGCATGTGGCAGACATGCACTTAGATGCCATAAGGATAACCGGATGAAGTCAGTAGTGTTAATTAAATAGTATATAGTACTAGTAATAATCAATCCTAATATGTAATTATAAATTTGTACTATATCAAATTAAGGCTAATAAAAACCAATTGGCATTGTTGCCAAAGTTCAAAAAAAAAAAAAAAAAAAAATATAAATTAGTTCAAATTAAATAGGTTTTATTATTTTATTTTTTTAATATTAAAAGTAAATTTATGTCTTTAATTTTATTGAAATTGCATGTTATATTATTAATACTTATTATTTCTACAATTAAATATCAATTTTATAACAAGAAGTCCATTTGGGAAGACCCAAGTAGAGAGGTAGCCAGATCTTCGACGGCCCTACTGTAAAGGCTAGCCTTATGAAACAGATACCAAGGTCAAAGTAGCCAGACAGGCAAAAACCTCTAGGTGGGAGGTACCACCAACCAGGCTACCAGATCAAGCCGAAGGAAAAGGATATCAGGCCAACCTAATATACCAATGGACCGGTCATAAGGCCTACCGGGCTATCTGGATTGGGAGTTTGATGAACCGGCAGGGGTATACTAAAGTATTTCGGATATGCTATGAAGTAAATGCTGAGGTTTGTGTGAACTCTACAAGGGCATAGCGGTTTAATGGTCAGCCCTGATCGCAAGTATTGGTTCTGCCATAGTGACACCTAGGTCAGCTGTAAAAATGAGTACAAAAGGCTCTGAGGGGTTTACCTCGAGGATAAATTAGTCCTAAGGTTGCAGACGATGATCTGGTACATCTGAGATGACCAGTGATGTTAACACAGATTACAGGTTCAGAGGGTTTAAAGTAGAACACCCAAGCAGGGGTGTTAGGTACAACAATTGGTAGGGTGGACTTCTTAAATAGGTAATATAGAAAAGTTACATGTGTAGCCAATTGTACGCTCTCCTGTAGTGGTTCATTGAACCACAATACTGACAAGTGATTAATAAAACTCAAAAGACCAAAGAGGTCACCTTAATACCAAAAAAAAAAAAAAAAAATCAATTTTATAACATTGTCCTTAATCAAAATACATATAATAAAATTCTTACAAGTCATATAGGACTTGTAAAAAACAAAGTCAAACTTAGTTACACAATTTCTACTAGCATTTTTTTTTTCTTTATTTAAGCAGTCTTGTTGGTTTATTTTTATTATGATTTTTTGCATATATATATATACAAAATTTTGTATAATTTTTTGATCCAATATTCTGTAGATATTTTTATAAGTCTTATGAATGATCTGCCTGCATTGACTGTCTAACTTCATAAGAAGTTAAAGTATACCAGAGGTTGTATTTGATCATCATTTTTTTTTTTTTTTTTTTTTTTTTACTATAAGCAGTCACACTAGTACTTTATTGAGTTTTTGAAATTATATTTGTAACTACATACATATTTCTAATATCTAAGTCTAGCATCACCCGGCTACCTTAACAGTACCTAAGTGCAACCTGCCACATTACTTCCAACAGAAGTAAGCTACTTGTCTGACTACTTAAAGTCCATAATGAAAAGATCTTTTCCCTTCCATAACAAGCCCCAAAATTGTCTTCATTGCTTCTTTTTCAACTTGTTTTCCTTTTTCTCTTATTTCTTCTTTCTTCTTTTC